AAGAGACTTGTTATCTAACAAAAAGGAATTGGTAATGAAAGAACGTAAAATTGATAACATCATACAATTTAGAGGGATGGAGCGCAAGTGGATCACAACTCCGATTGATGCTATTATTGAGAATGTAAGGAGCACTCCAAAATAACAAAACATCTTTGCCAAAGCAAAACAAAATTGTCAAACACAAAAAGAAATATCTATTACAAAGCAGACTAGCAGCTCGATTGCATTTCCTATTCATAAAAAGAGAATGGTATGATGGTTTTCATGAGTTATTTTTTCATCAAATGCCAGTTTTATGTAAATTGCATTGTTACATATTTCATTGAATGTATCTAATGAATGCAATCACTTGAGTTACAATGAGAACCCACTTTTGTAGAAGTCTTCAATCGCATTCACAAACATTCAGGAGAACGTGGTGATTTCTTTAACAAGAAGTCCAAAGTTTTCAATGTATGTCACATTTCAATGACTTTGGCAATACTTTGAAATTGCTATATTACTTTATTAAAATACATAATATGTTATGTGTTAAGATTCAAAAACTTTGTCAAAAGTAAAAACAACTGCGTAATTTATTTTGTGATTCTGATTGTGTATTGTGATTATTGATGAAGCAGATAGGATAGTAATTAAAAGATTAAACATTACGGGACAAATGATATTGAACTATACAGTATTGTGTGCTTATTGAGATGAAATGACTTAGTGAATGTGAACTATTGCATAACTTACTTTTTTATTCTGGCTGTATATTATGCGTGTTAATAAATTAAATAGTGTAGTAATTGAAAGACTAAACATTACAGGATGGATGGTATTGAAATATATATGTTTTATGATTATTAAGATGCAATGACTTTGTGAAGGAGAAAACTATTGCATAACTTGCTTTGTGATTCTTGTTGTGTATTATTATTATTGATAACATAGATAGTGTAGTAATTGAAAGACTAAACCTTGCAAGACGATTGATATTGAACTATTTAGCATTTTGTACTTATTGAGATGAAATGACTTTGTAAAGGTGAAAACTATTGCGTATTTTGTTTTATGATTCTGGTTATGTATTGTGATTGTTGATAAAATAGATAATGTAATAATTGAACTCCTAAACATTATAGGATGAATGGTATTGAATTGTGTCATTGGAATGATAGTGTACTTGTTTTGGAATAAAAATTGTTTTAAACCTTTTGTTGGAAAACTATGTTGTTGCATTATCTTAAAAATATGATGAAGACTCTTCTAATCATCCATATTTCAATCCACAAGCATGTACTGAAGCTATTAGAGGGATTGAAGCTATACGCACTCATGTATATATCTTTGGATCTGCAGATAGATCTTAAAACCTATTTTACTCAAGTCAGTCCATCGTTGCAATAACGACATCCCACTCTATTTATGGTCCATTATCAGTGCCCACTAAAACTCCTCAAAAATACAAATATAATCCACACTTGTTAACAGATTTTGATTTAAGAACATCGCAAATATTTACTTTTTAATTGAATTAAATTAAAAATTGTATAAAAAAATTCAAATATAAATCCTAAATTAAGCATTTAATCTATGTAAAAAGTAATAAAATTTTTTATTATTTTATTTAAAAATAATAAATACACCTTCAATTAAATTTATGGTAATTTAAGTCTACTATTATCTTAAGTCAATGAATTGTTGTAATCGAAACTTTTGTGATCTTTCATTGACACTTATAAACGTTGACAAATATGACTTTTCATATAATGTTTTCACCATTCACAGGGCTATAGGTGTTCTCTTTCTACATCTCTCTAGAAACTTATCTTAAGTCTAGTATATCACCTTTATCCCTTCATTACTTTGGTCTTTTTCTAGATTTATCTTAAGAATGTGTTTGATATACAAGATTATAATAAGATATGATAAAATGATGATTAGATTAAATAATGTTATTCTATCTTTATTTGATTTGTACAAAAATTAGAATAAAATAATTTATTTATTGGTCAAAATTATCTTTCATTAAAGTTTATATAATTTAAATTATTAATGTAATTTTTAATAGTATAATAAAACATGTAAATTCAATTTAATGGATTAAAAATAATCATCTCCACTTTATCGCTATGTTTGGATAAATATTAATAAAGGAAAGGAAAGGAAAAGAAAGTTTTTTAAAAGAAAAGAAAGGATATATGTAACATTTGTTTGGATAATTAAAATTAATAAAGAAAAAGAAAGGAAAGGAATTCTAACAACCATTGTTTGGATAAATAGTGAAAAAGAAAAGAAATGATTCATTATAATAATTTTTTTCAATTATAACCTTTCATTGCTTGTGATTTTAAAGTACTTCTGAACCATAATATATTTGCTATCTTTTCTAGCCTTACAATAGTTGCTATATCAGTAGTTTTTAATCAAGTGAAACAAGATGTTTTACAAACATGCATTGATGGATTTGTTGGTCATTATCAAAATTTCAGCACATTATCACTTTGACGATATATTCATATAAAAGCTATTAAATATAAAAAATGCAATCACATAAAAACATTACATATGAGTGAATTATATGTCCTTTTTGCACCAAACAAGAAGTAATAACATATCATCATATAGTTGTTCAACATAAATTTATTTTACTAAAATAAAAAATAAATATTTCCATCCTAAGAAAAATAAAACTAATATTTACCAATTAAGTTTGTGTGAAAAGCATACTGATATGTTTATAATCATAGCCAAGTTAATTGTGTTTCAATGAAACATCTCCTAGAATTGCCGACATCTCAAACTATAATATATTACATATAAAAATAAAAAATTTTGAGTTAGTTTGACATCTCATAAACCTAAAAATTATGTCTATTCATTTTCAATTATTCATTAAAATCAAATCACAAAAAATTATAAAATATTTTTATATTAGAAGAGACATGTGAAACTTAATTGAAAAAAAAGATTACTTAAAAAAATTACTGGAAATTTGTGATGTGGTTAAGTTTTTTTTTTACTAGGCTTTTGATATTAATAAAAAGTTGGATATAATAGTCTTTTTACAAAAATAAAAATATTTTTAGCTTTCCTTTCCTTAGGTTTTCTCTCAAATTAGGGTATTAAAAAAGTGAAGATTATAGGGAAAACCAAGGGTTATTGAGTTTCTACCTCTTTCCTTTCCTTTAAATTGAAAGTTTATTCAAACAAAGGAAACGTTTTTTTGTTTCCATTACTTTCTTTTATTTTCCTTTCCTTTCGTTCCCTTCCCCTCAATCCAAACATACTGTAAGAGAATTGAATTATACTATACCAAGAGAATGATAATCCTCTTTATAATCATATCTCTTTTTTTAGATACAAATAAAACGTAATATAAAAATATTATCATTCTATCTAATCCATCATTTTATACATCAAATATGACGTAAGTCTACTATATCGCCTTATCCCTTTATTGCTTTAATTATATTGATGTTTCTGTCACCTAATATCTCAAACTCGCTTGAGCATCGTAAAGCACTTCTATTTAGAGCTCATCTAAACTCTCGTTCATCTATAGTTAGAGATATCTACATTGAAGAAGATCACTTCCATCACTATTTGAGACCCTATCTCACACGCTCCAAATGCATGTATTTGATTTACAATCTCCGCTCAAGGACCCTCCATATTAGTGAACATCCCAAGTTCACCTCCATAGCAAGAACCATCTAAAAGATCAAAGTGGAAAATAAAATACTTGAAAATAGTATAACTTAATAACCAGTCAGAGCAACAAAAAGCTATCAAGGTTTTAGAGAGAATGAAAATATGTCTTCGGGTTTGATAAATTGACGTTGGTTTTTTTATTTTTTTTATTTTTTTGTAATTTGGTACGCTTACAAGAGTAGTATAGATCAAAGCACAAATTTTGCAAGGGCATTAAAGTAACAAACCAAAAGTAACATTCCAACGGGAATATAACACAATACAAGAGAGGTGGGTTTAGAATGACCTCTATTCCCAAATTTCAAGTGTGCGCTACATCTTACTTTTCCAATTTTTAGGACAATTGCGAACATAATATTTTAAAGGTGTATTTAACATATAAAATTATGATAAAATAAAATAATATTATATTATGAATAAAATTATATTAACTCATTTTATTTTATTTTTGTTTGATATATGCAATAATTAAGATAGATAATTTTATTTATTGATCAAAATTATTTTTTTCAAGTTTATACAAAAAAAAAATTTATTGATATAACTTTTAAGGATATAATAAAGTATTTAAGTTCAACCTCATAAAATTTAAAAAAAAAAATCCTTTCCTTTGTGAGAGAATTAAATTATTTTTTGCTAATAAAATGATTAATTTTTTTTACAAATCTATCTCTTTTTTTGAATATAAACCAAATATGATATATAAGATAATTCACATTCTATTTTATCTATTTTATACATCAAAGAAATAATAAATGCCATGCAGCCATGTGAGATGTGACAAACCAAACATCATACAGTGTAAGATTCTATGAATGAAACGCCTTTAAATTTAGTCTGGACCTTTTTTTTTTTTTTTTTTTTTTTGAAAAGATACACAAACCCAAAGGTCAATGCGTTTTAGACAAAAAACGAAAACATTTTGTTGGATTAAAAACATGGGGTGAATACTAAACTCTACGTTACCCTACCTATATAACAAGTCATATAGTTGGAAAATTTTACTTTGACTGCTCACTGCTAATGACATACATCTAATTCTTGAAGTTCTTGAAAAGATAGGCATTCATCCCACCTAGATCTGTGGTAACTAGTATCTCGATTACAAAATAAATTACACAGTTGTAGGAAAGATCCATGAGAACAAAGGAAGAACAAGTCCATGGTAGCCTAGAATCTATTTCACGGCCACTTGGACGTCATAAATTTTAGCTCAAAAAGTCAAAGGATTATTCAAGGAAAGAGGAGCAGACTAAGCAAAAAGTAAAGGATATATTCAAACAACTAAGCAATGCTTGGTAAAATTAAAGGGCATGTTCAAACAAATCAAAGGGCACATCTTGAAGAAAGATAAATTTTTTTTCATTACATTACAGCAGAGTACATGTCCATGTGGACAGCACAGAAAACCAAACATATGGTTACATTATATTATTAACCAAAATTGCTAAACAAACAATAAGTTACTCATGCTTAATAACATTTATTAAACAATAAAATGGATCTCTTCAAAGCAGTAGTTCATGCTAAAATTAATCTAAGCATTATTCATGGAAAGAGAAGAAGACTATTGCAATGCCTCCAATATAATCTAATATAACAATTTCCCAAGGTAACCTAATGGCAGCTCTTTAGAGGGGCGGAACTGCTTCAGTGGCTAATACATAGAATACTTCTCACTTACACCAGGCCTGATGGTTTTATAAATTGCCATGACAATAGGAAGAATACCAGTGAGTGCCATCTGAAGCTGATCTGAGCTGCTTGTTCGAACCGTAATCTGTCCACTCATCTTATTGTTTATTCCTGCACGAACTGCTATTTTTGAACTCCGTCCAACAGAAAATTGAGACTGAAAATTGGCACCCAATGCCAAGTCCCCTCTCCATTTGACTAGAGACAAACCCAGAGAGGATTGATCCTGGCCGATTGGAAAATCTGCATCTTTGAGACGCACTTCTAGATTGGCTCCATATGCTGAATCACCTTGAGATCTAACAGTCCCAGTGCTACCAACCAACATCAGCCGCTTTCCAACAACAACATGATCCTCAAGTTTGAACCCGGTTGCAATATTCTCACCTAAAAATGTGACAGAAAATCCCACAGCTGCTTTGTTCTTTTTGAGATTTTTGAATTTGGTCTCCCCTCTAAAAATATAGGCTAATTGCTTTCCAACATTTTGGATGTCAAAGCCAGCCATGCTTGATCCATTTTCTCCATGCTTGGCAGAAACTGAAGAATCCAAATGAATGTTAAACTCCTTCTTATCCTTCGTGAGTTGCACAGCAACTGCAGTAGGAAACTGGCTGGCAATTGCTAGACTATGTTCAACATTAACGCCATCATACCCACAATCATGGTCCCAACCATGAGTGTCCAAAACAGGCCTCGCCAAGAACTGAGAAGTTGGTTCCAAGAACCGGTACCTGTAAGCTGGATTATCAGCATCAAATGAAGGTGGAAGGACCATATCAGGTAATGGAACTGGTAGAGCAGCAGGACCACCAGTTTCCTTATCAACATCTTCCCCGATGTAACCATAATCATCAACAGCAGGCTTTCCTTTCTTCTTCATCTCTCTCATTCTTCTCAACTCCTCCTTCCATTGCTTTTTCTGGAGGAGCTTCACCCGATAATCATACTCCTCAAAATATGCCTTCCTTTGCTCCTTGCTAAGCTTAGCAAGCTGTGCCTTCCTTAGAGGTTTGAAAGGTGGGAGCTGCTCATACTCATCCTCTTCTTCTTGATCAGAATCGGATAAATCAGCCATATCAATATCTGAGTCACCATTCTCACCACCACACTGATCAGCAGAGAGTTTAGGATGGCTACGAGACTGCAACAGCCAAGATAACAAGTATGGAAGAGGAGGAGAACGGACACGAAAACCAAAGAGCTTCCCATGGTCAAATGGATCAAGAGGTTTGGAGAGAGAACTTGCTTCAGATAAGACTTTCATAGAGTAGCATAACAGCAATAGCTGCGGTCTCCAAGCTTGACCATTAGGAAGCACCTTGAGACCATCCCTATTCTTTCTACATGAAGGATGATTTTCAACAAGAGTAACAGGATTCATCAAACTTGGATTCATCAGGCGCAGACCACCAACAGCCTGGCCAATTGACTGCTGAACAACATGGGAACGTTGGGCAACAAACGCCTCATAACTCAAAGGTGAGCCAGATGGTCCATCTGGAGGCGCAGAAGCCGCATGAGTCAAAGTAACTATGGCATTTTTCCAGATAGAGGAGCCAAGAGAATTAGTGATTGATCTTAACAATGGCAGATCATTAAGATCCCGAGTCTGTGTGTCCAGCCGGTCAACATAGAGTACAATATCAGGGGGACAGTTCTTTATTAATTTTTTTATAGAAGCTAGGACCTTGCAGTTGGCACCTTGCTCCATGGCTGAAGATTTCAAACCTGGGGTATCAATGACCTTGAGTTTAACACCATCTACTATTCCAGTAATCTCTTCCACAACTGCAGTGGCAGGTTCAAATGCATGAATTGAAGCCTTCTCCTCACCAAAGATTGAATTTATTGTAGCACTCTTGCCCACCCCAATCTTCCCAAGAACAAGTATGTTCATGGAGAAGCTTAAATCATCTTTACCCTCTGTTTCAAGTTCCAAAGCTTTCCTCTTTGCAGAATCAAGGCTAAACAGATGACCGGTTTGCCTCCCTGCTACAAACGCCAGCCTATATAAAACCTGTGCGGCTATAGAATCTTCTGGAGAATGTCCTAGCCTCTGAACAAGCCTCAAGAATTTGACTCTTATCAGCTGTAACTTTTCCAATTTTTTTTTATCTTCTTCACTCAAGTTATTGTTAGAGTCTTCCCCACTCATTACAACAGAAGGACTGAATAGGTTAGGCCGGTTCGATCGAGGTGCAGATTTTGCATTGTAGAGTGAAGATCCTAAACCTGCAGGTCGCTCAACAGAGAAAAGCCTGGACCCATCTTGAGAGGTTATAGGGGTATTACCTCCATCAGAGCCAGCACCAGTTGCTGCTTTCAAGAGGGCTGCCAAAGCAGCAGAATCAAATAACTCTTTCCCCTCCCCTTCTTTATCGGTGTCCCCTTCTTCATCTGAATCAATGACAATCTGACCATCAATTCTCTGAGAAAGATCATGAGAAGTATCAGCACCTGAGTGAGAACCAATGGCAGATCCTCGTTCTAGCTCCTCCAAGAACTGTTTAGCAGCTTCAGCTTTCTCAAAGATAATACCTTCAGTGTCTCCATCAGTATCTGAGCCTTCAATTTCACCACCATCGTCCTGATGGTGCTTCTCTTCTTCTTCATCTTCATCTTCAAAACTAATTTCTGCTTCAGAAACCGTAGTTTGTTCCACAGACTTCAGAGAATGAGATTCTTCTATTGCCATGGTTACCGATCTTCCGCTTTGGGAATCACTATCTAAACCCTTTGCTTCATGAGCTGCCATCATTTCTGTAGGTTGAGCAGAACGATCCGTTGTCTGAATTCCATTTCTAACCCCTCCATCTATTTTCTCAGCAGACACTTGTCCCAACAAATCTATACTAGCCTCCTCTCTGAGGTCATTTAGCTTGGTTCCCAAATCGTCTTTACCAAGCAGACCCCGACTAGAAGAATCAACTTTCCTCTGAGCATCAATTTCAGAAGTCTTTTCACAAGCCAAGACCTCAGCAGTTTCAATTGAATTGGTGGCAACAGGATCAATATGTTGTCCATCATCATGAAAAATCCGATTAAAGCCATTATTCAAGCTTCCATTCCCAGCAACTGGAACCACCTCCGTCCCCTTAATCTCAGATTTCTCACTGTCTGAAGGATCAGGTGTTGCATCAGCCGCCAATTTCTCTCCACCAGAAAATTTCAAATCCACCTTATAATCTATTGCTTCTGCAATCATAGAATCACCATGCGTAACTTCACCACCTAAAACCGAATTATTCTCAAACATCCCAATCCTACCTTCCTCTCTGCTTTCCATTGTTAAAACAGATTGGTCAGCACCACCTGTCGAGCCCATTTCCAGCTTGTCCTCCTTTTCTCCATAACCAACACCTTGAATATCAAGGTTTTTGATCCATCCTTCACCTCTAAATCCCTCTAAACCATTATCACCATCCCCAAGCAAGTCGTCTTTCAAAATCAGAGTTGAAGCATGAGAATGGACAAAAGGGGCATCGTTACCTTTTGCCGGAGAGGGAATTTCATCATCTGGGTCAGCCACAAGTGGCCTCTCGGGCACTGTTTCAAACTTCTCATCCTCACCACTCTCATTATCACTAGTTTTACCATTTTCATTAGCTTTCAAAGCATGTTGTTTTACGGAACTAGTTCCAAACTTAGAATCATAAGAAAGAAGAAGAAGAAGAAGAAGAACCTGGGTAGGTAGAGAGCGGCTGAGAGGAGATTTCCTGGGCAGAAAGCTCGGCGTCCATGGGAGGTAGGTTGTAAGAGATGGGAGAGAGAGAACTAGGGTTTTAGGAGAGGATAGGAATTTTGGGGTTTGGATTAATGGAATTCGTAATACCAACCAAGCAAGCTGTTAGTTACATTAGGAAGGGGAAAACGATAAGGTGGAAGCTGAGTTTTTGCAGCCGCACGCCGTGGTAAGGTGCCCTTGGACTTTTCCATGCTTTTTTTTTTTTTTGTCCATTTATTATTTTAAAAAAATCATTTCGCACATTTTCGATATAAATTTTATATTTAAAAAACGGAAGTAGATGATTGTCACAATTTTTTAAAATATATTAAAAAATTAATATAATTAAAAACACATATGAAAGTTTTTAAATATAATTTATAAAATTTAAAAACTTCATAAAAGTGATTTTTTATTTTTTTTAAATATTACTCTTTCATTTTCTTTTCATATCTTATTCTATTATTAAAATAAAATACAACTAAGGAATTCTGAAAACAAACTTTGTAAGTGATTTACTGTAAATTTTTTCATTGATACAATACAATTAAAATAGGAGAATATATTCAAACTTTAAAATTAATCCTCGATTAATGAAAAATAAATAATAATGACTTTAAAATAAACTTGGATTGGTAATGTTTTCTTTTTATTCGTACAAGTAAATCTATAATCAAACTTAAGTTTAGAATTTTTTTTTTCTCTCTTTTCGCTTTTCCCTCTCTATTTATTTTTGTTTTTAATATTTCTCATTTTTCCAAATATTTTTTCGAGTTTGAAGCCGATAATGCTTTCTTTGGTTCCGCTATTTTCTTTTTTTTTTCTTTTGGTTAGTTTAACTTTGAAAGATAACGTTGGGGATTGGATTTCTGAAAAACTTTGTTTGGTTCCGCTTTTCTTTTCTTTTTTCTTTTTTTTTTCTTTTTCTCTTGGTTTGGCTTTCAAATTACGTGTTCTGTTTTCCCTCTGTTATTCCTCATTCCCCATCTCAAATGTCTGGCCAAAAATTGTTTCTGCTCATCAGCTGAAGTTTAACCAGCTTAAGAAATCCAATCCTGAGATTACTGCAACACATTGTGACGTTTTTTTTTTTTTATTTAGCCATGAAGAATTTGTGTATTTTGTTTGATACATTTTTATTTTGTCAGTCCAACTTGTTTTATCTAGATCTAATACAATGAATTCATGATAAGTTATTTTTTTTTATAATTTTTCAACAAATTCAAATTCAAATAATAATAAAAAAAAATCTTTTTTTAACATTTGAACCAATTATCTATTAATCACTGGGACAATTTTCATTACTATCAAAACTCTCTTGATAATAAGTTACAGTAAAATCTAACTTGACTCAAATTACTGTACTTAATTGGTTCAAAATCAAATTAAATTATAATACATAAAAGACTATTATTTGGATTTATATATTATCGGTCTATTTTCTAAATTGTATAAAATGAACTAAAATATCGTCATGTAATTTTTTATTTATAATATTATTTTGTTAATTATATAATAAATATGTGACAATCTTCTAATTTCATTAGTAAAATTTTAAAATTCTAATGACTGTGTATGAAATCAATTTTTGATAATAAAGTAGTTTATCACGAATTTGGATTACTTTAAAATAATTTAATTTTTAAATAAAAATTTAAATATCACACTGAATAATTTAATTTAATACAAAAAATCACATTAAGAATTTACATAAACTATAAAAGGCCAAGCGTGACATTATTATTTCCTTTTAATTGGTTCATAAATTATCTAAATTTAACTAAATAAATTTTTAAAAATTAATGGTAAAAAACTATTCCATAACAAAACTTAAAAACTATTTCCCAAAATATTTTAAATTTGGGTATAAATTTGTCATCATACTTATTTAAGTGGTACAATTATTTATTATTATTAGATTTATGTCCTCGTTTATCGAAGGAAATTTTTTAATATTGATAATTTTTTATTAAATTAATTTTAAAATAAAATTTTAAATTATATTATATTAAATAATTATTTATTTAACTAATTTTTTTATATATTTTAATATATGTATTAATATTAATATAATTACATTTTATTAATTATGAAAATTAATTATTTACAAATTATATAAACAAACATATTTGAAAAATAACTTTGTGGTATCATAAATTAATCTTAATTAAATGGTCTTTTATTCTAAACCAAATTTAATTAGTCAAATATTAAAAAATTTTGTATGAATTTTTCATCATTTTGGTAAAATTCCTAAAAAGTTTTTCTTACTTCAAGAATATTCAAGGAAACTATTCATTTTCTTGAAAATGCTCAATCATTGAATTGATGAAAATTTTTATGACATCATTTAAAAATTTTTCTTATACAATTTAATTAATTCTTTTTCATTTTTATAAAAACATGTAAATTTTTCATTGTTTTGGCAAAATTTAAAAATATCTTATTCTCTAAAATTTTATCTCAAGAATCACTCATTCATAATTTTCAAATTTTCATGGTCTGAAAAATTGGTTTTAATTTTAAATTTTATAAATTATTCATTATTCTATAATAGTTTAAAAATAATTTTTTTTAAAAAATTATACATTTGTAATTCGTCTAGACTTTATCATTGATTTTATCCCTAAAAGGATCCTAAAATTATTGGACATTTAATTATTTGATTATCTAATTTTTATTATTTTTATTTTATTTCAAAATAAATATTATTAAAAATTTTCTTTTAAATTCACCATCATTCTGATAAAATTTAAAAATTTTATTTTTCAATCCTACATTCATAATATTTTGAAATTTTATTGTTTGAAATATTTTTATCATATCATTTTATTTATTATTTTCATTAATCTTGTTTTTCCTTAAAATTTGTTAATTTTTATAATAAAATTGTTATTATGCAAAAGAGTTTAGTTTAACATTTAATTTAACAATTCTATTATTATTTTTCATTATTATCATTTAAATAAATATCACATACTCAAATAACTTTGAAATTTAACATGTATATATTAAATATAAAACGTAAATATAAATAAAGCAAAACAAAAAACATAAATAAATAAATAATTACCCAAAAAGACAAGTCAAATCGATCAATGGTTCAACAAGTCAGCTCAAACGGTTTGGACGATTTTCTAGTAGTCCAACCCGGTTCAATGGTGGTTTTCTAATGGTTTAACAGCTCAAGAATCTATTCAACAATTTAGAAGTCGGTCTAGCCAGATCTATTAATAGCTTATGATAAGGATTGGAGCCAAGTCAAATTCGGACCCACACATGAATCTTCTACCAAAACGACATTATATTTACCCCTTTTTTTTAAAAAAAAATATAAAATCATAGTTTTTTTTCTAAAACATTTTACCCATTTTAACAAAAAAAAAATCATTATATCAAAAAACTCTTCCATTCCTTAGTTCTTGTCATCGGCTGTCATATTCCTTAAACTCATCTCAACCTCTTAAATACTGATCTGACTTTCATTTTTTCTAAAAATTTTTAGATTTTTCTAGATCTGAAGTTAAAGTCTCGGCTTCAAAATTAAAAATACCCTTATTTTCGCCGTTTCAATGGCCATTAGCTCTCATTATGTTCATCCCCTAGTCCAAAGCTCCCTACACATCGAGCCTCAAATCCTAATATAACACCCTAATATCGAAAACCCATCCCAAAACCTCACCTCACCTCTACTTTTATTTTTATTTTTTTTTGGCTTGGCTGGGTTCTCACTTCAGTAAAGACCATGTTTTTTTTTTTTTTTTTTTTTTTTTTATAAAAAATTTTCTTTTTGGATTTTTGGTTGGTTTTAGGACTGTGAATTGGGTTTGCTGTTTGTGTAAAAAAAAAAAACGCTTTTTTATCTTTTATTAATTTGATTATTGATTTTGATGCATGCAAAGTTTGGATCTTGAGATATTTTATTTTATTATTTTTTGACAAGGAGAGAAAGAAATAAAAATATGATTATTGATTTTTTATTTATAAGATTCTCTGCAGGCAATAGGGGTGGTGGTGGTGGGAGTAATGATGATGATGGTGGTGGTTGTGGGAGTGGTGATGACGATAATGATGGTGATGGCAGTAGATGTAATGGTTGGTGGCCGGCAACGGCAACATTCGGGTGGTGTTTTGAATTGTGAATTGTCAATTGCGAAGAACACCCTAAACTTCTAAAAGATTTTCAACTTTTGTTCTAAAAAAAACATGTGTCACACAACTTAGCATAATTAAATATAATAATATTTAATAAAGCTGATGTGGTAATGAAGTATGCTGATTTGGCATTTGAAATAAAACAGTAAAAATGCTAATTTGGCAAGAAATTGAAGTAAATTGAGTATAGGGATAACATTTATATATAGATATAGATTAATCTTTCAATTAATGTCATTTTACAATCATATTTTTAATTTTTGAGTAAAATTGCAATAATACTTGTAATTTTGAAAATAATTAGAGAATATTTAATAAAATATTTCGTTAAAAACTATTTTACAATCCAAAAACAAATTTGAAAATGACATGACAGAAAAAAAAAGCAAAATTTCAAATTTCATTTTATATTTTATTTCTTTTTTATTGTATTTTCTTTTAAATATAATGCTAATCCAAAAATTTTAATATTTTATTTATTTATTTTCTTATCTTCACAATTTCAATCAGTTTAATTTCTACATTAGATTTACTTTTTTTGTAGTCACTTTAATTTGTAAGATAGGTTTTATATTTAATAATACTACTAGAAATGATGATTGACAAATTTACTTGTCAACGAGTTTACATGCACCAATCCCATACAAAAAATGATTGGTAAGTAGATGTTTTATTACTATGTTTTAATACTTACTTGCATTTTTCTTTTTCGAAATATATAGAACTCTTAGATTCCAAATATGGGTGCGAATAGAGAATAAATGTATATGTAAAGTGCTTTGCATGAGACCTTTTATCAACAAACATCTAAATTAACTTTAACTACATTCTTTGAAAACAAAAACATTAGTGATTTGATTTTAGAAATGAATAATTATACATATTATTGTTTGTTTTCTAATATTTATTAGTTTTTGTTATGTGTGATAATTCTCAAAAAACTTTGCTTTTCTTAATATAGAGGAATTTGGCCTTAATTATTAAAATTTTCAAATATACTTGGCTTGATTTTCTCATTTATGTTGGTGAACTTGTATCACAGCTCTTACTTGCAAAATAGATGAAACACTATATTTACTGCATGCTATGAAATAAGATAAGCTTTAAGTACATTATTTAAACATTCAAAATCATTTTAAATAAATAAAATTTAGCTTAAAATTATATAAATTTTTAGGTACTTGAAAAATGATTGCACAAGATGAAAATAATGTAAATCGAAGAAAGTTAATTTAAAGTGATGAAACTTTTAGCTTTTATTTTAATATTTTATTGGTGTACTCAATATTATTATTTATAATATCTTTTGGATATTTTATTTTTTTCAGATATTATTTTTTATTTTTTGAAATTTGTAAATTTTTTAATAAAAAATTTTAATTTTATGATGTTTTGATATCTTAATTATATTATATGTATTTTACATATATCTTGAGCATATAAATGATGAAATAGATTTAATTTTTGTGTCTACACATATTTAAATAATTAAAGATAATTTGTGTATTACACAGGTAATAAACTAGTAACTTTGAAAAGAATATATATATATATATATATATTTTTTTTGTTTTAACATTTGAACCAACTTTCCATTGATCATTAGAACGCTTTTTATTACAATCAAAACTCTCTTGATAATAAGTTATGGTAAAATTTAACTTGACTCAAATTACTCTGCTCAATTTATTTGAAATTAAATTAAATTATAATAAATAAAAAATTTTATTTGAATTTATGTATTATCATTGTATTTTTTAAATTGTATAAACTAAATTAAAATATTATCATGTAATCTTTTATTTATTATATTGTTTTATTAATTATCTAATAAATATGTGACGATCTTCTAATTTCATTAGTAAAATTTCAAAATTCTAATGACTCTGTATAAAATAATTTTTTTGTAGTAAAATAGTTTATCATGAATTTGAATTATTTAAAATAATTTAATCTTTAAATAAAAATTTAAATAACACTAAACAATTTTAGTACAAAAAATCACATTAAGAATTTACATAAACTATAAAAGGCCAATCGTGACATTATTATTACCTTTTAATTTGGTTCATAAATTATTAAAATTTAGTACTAAATAAATTATTAAAATTAATGGTAAAAAACTATTCCGTAAGAAAACTTAAAAACTATTTCCCAGAATATTTTAAACTTTGGTACAAATTTATCATTATACTTATTTTAGTGGTACAATTATTTATTACTATTAATCTTTCAATTAGTGTCATTTTACAATCATATATTTAATTTTTGAGTAAATTTGCAACCATATTTTTAATTTTGAAATAATTTGAGAATATTCAATAAAATATTTCGTTAAAAAACTATTTTACAATCCAAAAACAAATTAGAAAATGACATAACAGAAAAAAAAAAAAAAAGGCAAAAATTGAATTTGAATTTTATATTTTATTTTATTTTCTTTTAAATATAATGCTAATCCATATTTTTTATGTTTTATTTATTTTCTTTTCTAGCCATCACATTTTCTCCTAAACGTAATGCCACATCATTTTTGCAATTGGTCTTAGCCTTTTTTTTTCTCCGTCATATCATTTTTAGAATTTTTTGTACTGATGAAAAATTTTCTAATGAAATATTCTCCAAAATGTTTACTAAATCTTGATTAAGTTTGTTCTAAGATTACAAGTACGATGATAAATTTACTCCAAAATTAAAAATATAACAATAAAAGTATACTAATGTATTAATTGTATGATTAATAAAAAGTTTAAATCACTCTTGTAAATAAATTAATAAATTTGTATATTATCCCCAAATTAACGAATGCAATCAATAAAATTTCACCCTATAAAAAGTGTTAAAGAGTAATTATAATTTTTTTTTTTATATTTGAAGTTATCAAAATCTGATCTTTGATTATTAAAATTAAAAGTCTAACACTCTACCAATTTGATTGTTGGTAGAACAATTATAAATTTGATTCTTCATCTTTATATGTTATAAGAGTAAATTTGAACTTTATTTCTAAATATTTTTTTGTTAAAGAATACATTTTAAAGTTAAGTAGCGTATAGAGTAGAGCAAACCAGGAAAAATGGAATTCTCATAAAACAAGCTCTGGTATTATTAACAAAAGCAGCAGGTATTACACGTTTGATTACGTTGTTAACAGTCAGGTAATGCTACATACCAACAACAGCAATCGCTAATTATCCATGTTCAAGACCATATAACTATTTTGTACATCTAAAGACGGAAAAAAATTAATATTGAAATAAAAAAAAAAAAAAGACAAGCAATGCTGCTGAAAGTTCCAAATTTGGTTTTTCAAATCAACATTTGAAACCTCTACACACAATAAGCCACACTATGATGATCAACACAATAACAGCTCCTCCTACCATCAGTTTCATTTGGAGATTCTGCAGCCACATCTTCCGTCGCAGTTGCCGGCCTTGCCTCTGGAAGCTATCAGCCTATATACAAAACAAGCATCCGTGCCTTTTATATTATGAACTTACAGTTGTTCAATCAATTAGCAAATAGCACTAACCTGGAACTGTAAGTTTTCTGTTTTGTCCACCAGAAGTTCAATCTTCTCCCCACGATCCAAAACCTGCACAAAAAGAGAGAATTAATCATTTTAATTTGTTGACAATCAACTACAACATTTATTTTTAGTTTTCCCTTTTGATAATATGAGAAACAATATCAAACATTTTATGAAGGAACAAACAATACTAAAACCAAGTTAGCATCTTCTACAAAAATTCATAGCATAAAATCTTAGTAAAATCAGGCCCCCGTTCATTGCCTTGGGAAATGGACTTTTCAGTCAGAAGTTATCAGTTAAGTCCTTAAAAAAAAAAAAAAAGGGTCCAGAGTCCTCCAGCCACATAAAACACTTTTCTCTTCAAGAAGAATAAATGAGGATTAATGTCCCAAAAAGAAAGATGATTAGCACAGAGAGAGAGAGACGGAGAAAGCAAGTTCCAGCATCTTATCTATTCTAAGTATATGCAGGCCATATCCTATCTGGTTGTCCAGAAAACCAAGAAGCAAATTCAATAGACCATACCTTTAGCAATAGCAACCACATTTTCCATGCGTTAGTTTCGGGGAAATTAGTGAACCCTAATACCAAACATACATACATACATGAATATATGTATATAAATAAACATATATATATATATATATATATATATATATATATGGAGACTCACTAGAACTTGGGCTACACATAAAGTGGTAGCCCATCGCCCTATGACATTCCACAAACCTCAATGCCCCCATCCCCATGATTCAAACCTCCAAGTTTAGGGTCTCAAGTTCTAACCATTAGTCACCATTAGAGACCAACTGGGCGTATGCTGAACCAAAACCAATATAGCTTAGGCCTATCTTTTTTCATTTTATAAGGGCTGACGACAAGATAATGTCACGCACCTAAATATGTGGCATCGCAGCATGATGGAAACTAAATCCAAAAATTTAGTTAAAAAACAAAACCCCAAAATTTTGGTTAAAGAAAGCCAAATGGTGGGTCTACTATGACATGTCTAGAATTCCATTCTTCTCTCTTAACCTTTTACCCTTACCTCCCTTCACTGTACCTTTTCACGCCTCACTTTTTTTGCCCTTTTTTTCCTCATATTTTCGCTCTTCTTTCTTCCTTGTTTCCCGTCTCTTTTATCTCCTCCTATTTTTCCTCTCCTTCTCTCTTTTGTATTGGCATCTGGGTGTATTTCATGTTTGACTTATGAATTTTGTCGTAGAAGTGGTTGTAATAGCAATTTTTCTATTTGATCTGTCTTCCAAGCAAGTATCCAGCATTTTCTATTTGAATCTTCTCTGGAGGAGACACCCAAATTTTCAGCACTGAAAAAGACAAGTATTCTGTAGCAACACCAATGCTGACAATTCATGTATAGTGCCCTAAATTGGCAATTAATCTGACAACAGTTATAAGCTAAATGCATAGAATGACAAACAGAATTAAAAAAAAAAAAAAATCTATTTGACTTCTAATCAATGCAAATGTCAATTGCTAGTGATAGATAATGGATATACGTAAATGAAGAGGTTTCACCTGTATCCCTAGATCATAGTCAAGTAAAAGTAATCTTGAAATTATATAACATTTCTAGAAATATAATTATATAAAATAAGAGTTCATTACACAATCAAGCAACTCAGAAACCTTAAATTCCTGCTGCATAAGTGTAGATTTTATCACGCTCTACAATGCAGATGTACAAACATCTAAAGGCAGCCAAACCCATCTTAAAACACTTGATCAGCAGATCAGCTATCTTGTCTAGAACTAGGGCTTCTGCCCTCATCTTCCAAAGTTTAACTAATCAAAGAAAGTAAAGGGGTATACAATAGCCTAAGAAAGATAAGAGTCCCAACATAAATTCCACTTCCAATAGTGTCAACCATCAAGGAAGTCAAAGATCTCATGTTGAGAAAAAATCTGAGCACCACTACAAAAAATAACACTCAATATGGTACACATACCAATTGTGGCTGTGGAACAAAAAACCCAGGTTCTATCTACTCTCTGTGTGACAACAATATGGTTTAAACACAATAAAATATAAAAAGAAATGGAGACTTCATTTATATATGTAAAATAAATTGAAAATCTAAAGCATGCCTCAAGCCCTTGTTTTTGTCATCTATTCACTATTGCAAACAAATATATTGGAACATGCCAAGTGAAGCAAAGATTAAGAAGTACTACTTCATTTGCACCAGCTATGTCGTGCTTGTCCTCCAATCCCTCCAACATAAGACCCTTAATTTTTTATACAAATTTATTCTTTAGAAGAAAAGAGGGGGCGGGGGGGCTTTCTCCTTTCATTTTTCTCCCTATAGTTAGTGCCCTTTAAATTCTCGAGATAATCCACATAAATATAGAACTTCATTGTCAATTATCAACTCAAAATATAACTAACACTGCTCCTAAGACTAAAAAAATTAAAATAGGTATCAACAAGATGATTCTATCAAGATAAACTAGGTGCACTTTATAATAGTTAATACTACCTATCACTTTCAAAGTATAAAAAGCCACAGCATTGATAATTAGTTAGAAACCAGAAGATGCTGAAGTAAGAATTCTAACAAATCAAATTTGCAGTTGAAAAGTCCACTGTTAGCTGGATAGAGGCATATAATACTTTGGTTCCACTTTTGCATCATCGAAAAGGCCATACATATGACTACATATCAACATATGAAACATAAATGTCCAGAGAATATAAGATAAAATTTGAACACTCATAACATGACAACAGATAAAATGACTGCTGAGAAAACAAAATCAATTCCTAATATGTTCTTTCTCCTAAACTTGATAGTCAGCATGATCCAATATAGTTTTTCTTAGAGCCCCCTTTACTCTTTTTCTTGTAAAAATGTTTAAAAAGAAATCATATGCATACTAACACAATATTTCATGTTGAAGATTTATAACCAAGTACAATGATAACCATAGAAATCTATACAATAGCCATTGGAAAAAGAAGATTGTTATAAACCACTTGATCAATTTTTCCCACACTTATACCACTCTTCAAGGAAAGAAATACATACCTTCTCAATGTTATCCATCATAATCCCCTTGACCTCAGTTATTTGAGCTTTTAATTTCGAAAGCTTACTGATTTCTTCTGGATGGTTCATACAATATTGCATGTGCTCCTTAAGCCTTGGTCTGTCATACATAGCATGGAATTACATGCAAGTATTCATTCTACTAGAGGATACTAAAAGTTTACACTATCATGTATATAAAAATCAGAAGGTAATCAGACAAAATAACAATTTAACCTTGCCAAGCATATACGCACCCAAATTCTCTGTCAAGATTATATGCAACGCTAAATCGGTCTTCAAATAAGTCATCATCATCGTCATCATCAGCTAAAGGATGGGGACCCTCATTCCTTATTCTTGCACCATATCGCTGTTTAAAATCATCTTGCACTCGTTCGAGAAAAACAAAGGGCACACTCCTGCCAACGGTTTCATCTGCAACAACCAGAAATACTGCAAATGAAAACAAACATCGTCAACCACATATTTGGACATCAGAAATTTGATTGACATTAAGAAATCATGAGAAATAGTACCAAATCCATTGTCAACGAGGAAGTTAAATGTGTGCCCGTCACATGAATATGTGAACTTGCTGCTATTTGATGGCAGCTTCTGTAAACATTGAACAGCAATGGTACTAAAGTTCCCAGAATATGATGTGTGCTCTGCTAAAACAACAGTTCCTTTTGCAACAAAACTATAAATCAACCCTTTTTGACTCATTTCTCAGCTGGATATTCCGATTATCAAGATCCACAAAAGAAGCTAACAAGATCTGCAGAGCGACATTAACTTAGCAAAGCATTTACAAACATTACTACAAAATTTTGATTCTTTTCTTAAAGGAAAGCAATTCCAAAAAAAAGAAAAGACAGTTTCTGTGAAGCTTAAGATGACTTTATAAAGATAAATGCAACTGAAGCTGAATGAATTCGCTGAGATTCCCAGCTACCATGAAAATCCATGACTGAACAAAAAGACATGTTAACTTTCCCTAAATTTTGATACTACCAATTCGTGCCAAAACATGGTAAGTGAAACAAAGAACATATAACTATACAAGCCAAATTCAATTCCCAAAAAGGGAAAATAAAAAACCCTTTTCTCCAGCAGATCTTATCTTACTAAACTTAGAAGCGAATTTGAAGCCTCCAATAACTAAACTCTAATGATTAACTAAACTCCCAATAGAATCTAAAAGGGAAAAACAAAGAACCAAAGCTATGGATTTTTTTTTTTTTACTGCAAATCTGTCTACTTTTACCCTAAATTGTACCCAAACAAATTAAGGACTCAAAATTAGAAATATTTGGTGGATCTACTGAAAGATTTTGATATTTTGGAAGAGAATATAAGATCGAAATTTACCAAGAAATTAAAAAAATAATAATAAAGAATCTTAACCAAAAAATAAAAATCAAGCAAAAAGTGTATAGAAGAAAAAACCTGAACAAGTTCGGATGTAAATTGCTTCTTAGCTAGAAGGAGTTGGCGTGACGGGTTAAGCGACATGGACGAAGCTTCTCCTAATAAGATAATGAAAATGGAATGGTGGTTAGATTTATTTTTCACACGTGCAAAACCCGTCGGTTTTTACAACATCTGATTTTTTTTCCTTAAAAAATTAAAGTAACTTTTCGGTATTTAGTTTTCACGGGAAGCAGTGCGGTATAATATTAGGGACGTTAATAGTTGGGGTATGAGTAAGATGGAGTATTATTTTTTTTATTTTTAGATTTTTAGATTATGTTTATTTTTATATTTATATTTAATTGATATTTTAAATTTATTTTTATTTTTATAAATATTTAATAGGTATAAATAATCCGCATATCTTTAACTTTTTTAAAAAATAAAAATTAATTTTTTTAACTTTTTTATTTTATCTTATATATTTAGGTAATTTATATATATATTCATATATATTTTTTAATAAAATATATAATTCTAAGTAATCTAAAATAATAGTTTATATTATTTAATAAAAAATCTATTTATTAAATATATAAATATATATAAAATATGGATACATGACATGTGTTACATTATATTTCCTATTCTCATACCTAATAAAAATTAAATATTATATTAATCTCCATCAGCATACTTGTATTATCTATTATGTATGAATAAGATCGATATCTTTATATATTGTGAAAAAAACATAGCATTTTTGTTAGGGGTATTTTTAGGTTTAAAAGGTAAAATAATCTTTTTCTCTATTAAAGACTATCAATAGACAATCAAGAGTATTTTTTATTTTTGAATCGACTTCATATGTCTAACCAACATGAATCTACAATGCCATGTCAACTCTGTCATATCATTAGTTTACTCAATAGGCTCTCTCTAAATATTGAGTTGTCATCTTCATAATGGATGGTATGTTCATGTCATTCTAAAGCTTACGGCCTCACTCTCTATATATAAATAGGACCATATAGGTATTATTTCACGATCTTACTTTCCCTAAATTCTCCTTCGTCTTATACTCCTTTACTGATTTCTAATTAAGTGTCGAAGCACAAACATTGGAACCACTCTCAACTTTTGTTCTTAATCGTTTTTTTTTTCTCCCTCCCTTTGATTTCAAGGTTTTACCCATCTAGCTCAACTTGGCACAAACAATTATATAAACTAATTATGAGCACATTGTTTTTTAATTAATTATGATAAATGGAAAATAATGATAATGGTGATGATAAAATTAATTATTATAATAGTAAGATTTGATATTATAGTAATAAGATTAAAATCAGTAATTAAATGTGTTTGGATACAAATATAAAGTGGTGATAATGTGAAATACAATGAGAAGAAAAATAGTTATTAAAAATATTAAATTAAAACTTATATATAATAAAATTTATAATAGATATTTGATATTTGTGAAATTAATAAATAATTAAAATTACTAAAATTATTTTCTATCAAATAATATTTTTGTTGTAAATTACAATTACTAAAATTTATTTGAAAACTTTTAAATGTAAAAATTAAAATGAAACAAAAACAAAAAAGGAAAAAAAGTAAAGTAATGTAATGTCAAGTAATTTATTTTAAGTTACTTATTTATTAAATATATTATTATATGTAATTATTTATTATATTAAATAATAAATAATAAATAATTACAAAATTTTTAAATTTAAAAAATTGAAAAGTAAAATAACAAAATAATATAAAAAAAGAATGAAAGAGTTAACAAGAATAAAGAATTGAAAATATTTACTTAAAAAAAGAAAAATAACTTAACAAATAAACAATAAAAAATTTAAATTTATTTAGGCTAAATGTTTAATTTAGTATCTAATGATTGGATATTTTCTTAATTAAAGATATTATCTTTAAATTGATTTAATGTAGGATGAAACGTTTTCAGATTAATTTAAAACATGACATCGTTATTGCAATGTGACATACGCTCATTAAACTAGAGTGATGCTTTTTTTTTCTACTATAAAAGCTAAAAGAAAATTGTTTGTTTCATTTGTTTCTCTCTTTAATAGAGAGAGAAAGAGCATCATTCACTAAAAGTGGAACCAATGGAAACCAAGCTACCCAAATTTTGATCGTCACCACGGCGTTGGCCACCAATGGTTAGTCACCTTTCGACTTTAAAATTTTATCAGATATTATTCTTGATCTCTTCGCCTCAAATCCTTGCTTGGTTTTGCCCGAAACAGCTTCAAACTGCCCAAATTTAGACCTAAAGTCATAACCAAAAACTTTAAAATATTCCAAATTTATGTTAAATTCCACCCACTCATTCCTTTCAAAATTTTCTTTAATGTTCTCATGTTAGATTTTCTTAGAAATCAACCAAACTCTCTAGATCTAGCCTTGAACTCATGGCGTTAACCTCCAAAAATAGCCTCTGCTGCTACTCCAAACACCACCAACTTCTACCATGACCTTCTTTTTGGTTCGACCTCCATTCATTTTAAATTTTAGGCTTTGAAGCGCCCGTAGATCCTTTTAAAATTGCAAACCCCATTTTTTTATGATTTTGGCATTATGTTCCCTTCTCCAAGGGATGTGATTTATTTATTTATTTTTTGGGTGCCATGGGTTTTGGTTTTAGTTTTAGTGAGAGCAAATGAAGAATTTAATAGTAAAATGGACTTAATGATGCATGTAAGTCACTACCATTAACTACCATTAAGTAATCTTGATTTGAACACATTAAAAAACATGTAGAAATCAAACTATTACATTAAGACAATCTTCTGCCTAATATTTGTTCTTTGCATTATGTAGTATATATTTTGTTAATGTGTGTAATGTCATATTCCCTGATCTCCAAATATGAGATGTTCGTGCAATTTGAAAATTCATCATCCTACTCTGAGTTTTTTCAATAATTGTCCCAATATATGAGAAATCTTTTATCAGTCGACTTTATCTTTTTTAGAATGCTCATATCTTTCTAGAATGATTCTCATACACCTCATATCTTATGCATAAGCCAATGCACATACTTTGCTTCTGCTTTCACCATAAAGAAATTAAGAATATCATACAATCTTACTGAAGTAGCCCCTAAAATTGTACCATCAGAATCCCGTACTATCACCTTTGCACTCACCACTATTGTTGTTTATATCAAAAGCCCCATCAAAGTTCACTTTCACCAATTTAGTGATTGGACAAATCTGCAAGTATACAAGCTAGATAAGTAGTAAAAGTGACCTTTTAGTCAAATTGTTGATCCCACAGAGATTAGGTAAAATTTCCTAAGCTTAGTACTGGTTATCACTCTACTCTTGCTAAAGTTGGCTCAATCAAAGAATAAGCGTGGAGCTAGATTAACTAAAAAATTAAAACAAACAAAATAACACACATGATGTTAGTAAAATATAAGTGTAAACAAAATAAGTGAAAGAAAAACATTGAAAATTTCTCAAAACAATAAATGCATGAAAATTGCAACATCATTAAAATGAAAATACAACCAGTAAATTGCAAAAGAATTATCAAACAAATCTGTAACTAATCATGCAACGTTGGAATTAAATTCTAACTACTGTGATACATTAAAAGTGACATGAGCAATTTAAAGCTAGTAGTAACCTTAAACATCTCTCAAAGAAACCAATGAAAATTGAATCTGAATGGCAAAAAAAAAGGTAAATGAATGATACAACTAGATGACAAATAACCAAATCGTAATTGCCTATGGAGTTGAATTGAAAACGGCCAACTATATCTAAGCTAGTGTCTGCAAAAACAATTGATAATATTCTGGAATTTATTCAAATAGTGAGAGAACTACATGAAGTTGTGAATCATTGAACAAAATTTATCAAAGCCTAGAAACTAAGGTAAAACCAAAAAGAGCAGAAACTCTTGAAATTAAAATGTGGCTTACAATTTGCATCCTAAATGGAACAAGTTGACTTTAACTTAAACTAAATGAAGACCTAAGTGAAGAACTAATTGAAGAACTAAATGAAAATGTAATTTGTAGAAACAAACTTGAAGAAAAGAAAAAAAATGATTCAAATAATAAATCGAACCTACAATAGCAACATATTCTACTGGAACTGTATAAACTTACAAAAGGAAAAACTAATCTAATACCTTCTATTGAAAAAGAACTTGATATAAACTAAAACTATATAGATCTATGAATTAAATACCTAAATCAACAAGAAATTGCATGATTCAACAAAAATTCAGCTTAATGAACTTAACTTTAATACAAGTGCAGAATTTGGAAAAATAAGATATTATTAAAGAAAATTATCCAAATAGTAATTAAAAATATGAAATAAATTGCACAAAATGAATACAATCAAGGTAACTAATAAAACTAAAGATCTAAAGTGAAAAGAAACCAAATAGAACCCCAAAGATTAGAGAAGATCCATGCCAAAATCAATTTTTCATGTCTAGCTTGTAATGTCACCTACATCTAACTATGATTTCCAATTTTGATATGGATTGATGTACTATGAATTTGAAGCTGGATTTCAATTATGTTTTAGCTCTATGGGTTAGGAAATTATGATAAAAACTTGAATAAAAAAAATATAGATTTGATAAAGTTTTGATCCAAAAGTCATAGCAATGTGAGAGAAGATAGATTCAAAAAATGTTTGCATATCACTAAGAAAACAGGTAAAATAAACTTGAAAACAATTGCAAATATAAATTTTATTGCAAGATTCTTAAAGATCACTGAAAAACGCTTAAGAAACTGTAAATTTGCAACAAAATTCAAAGGAAAATACTAGAAAAAGAATGTTTGGAAACTAAGAAAATGTATAAAACTGAAAATGTAAATGCATAAAATAGAAAAGAAAAAAATCTAAATTTAAACTAACTCTCCTTAAATGGTTGGCCCTCTCCCCCTATTTATAGGCAGAGGGGAGGAGCACAAGGTCCTAAAAATTTTTAGAAAAATCTTTAGTTGGCTGTGTGCTTTTAGAGCCTTTTTCTTTTTGCTGCATTTAAGGCTTGCATAATGGTGCTTAGTTGTTTCTTCTTAGCAATCTTGCAAGATGTTCTTTCACTTGGAATTGATGATTCAAGAAGTTAAAATAAGGACTAATCAAAGCTTTTTAAAATGCCATATCAGCCACTCTTGTTGGTGCTTTTGATCCTAGTTGACGCCTTGTAATTTTTGTGTTCACCCATACATGTCCATGCATCCATGTTCCTTGTGTCTTTCATTTTTTTTTTTTTTGCAAAGATTTCAAACATCTTATGAATATATTTATTATACTTTTTACTAAAAAAAAAATCATGAAAATAACACTAAAAATTATGCAAGAAAAATCAAGAAAAAATCCCTCTATGTCAATGTTGCCAATTGACCCTAGTTTAGGCCATTTACACAAATTGTACCAAAAATTCCTCCAAATTGTGTAAAAATATCTAATATTCCTCACTTCCATTTTATACCTACACATGAGATTAATGTGTATTTAGAGCAACTTTACTAAAAATGCCAAAGAATAAGCCAAAATATGAAAAAAATTGCACTAAAAATAAGTATAAAAAAGTTAAAATTCAAGTACAATCAAATCCCCAAACTTAAGCTTTTGCATGTCCTCAAGCAAAACAAGATTGAGCAAAAATCATAGTATACTCTCAATGCTTCATTCAATATTAATGCCTCATGGATTGATCAATGATATAACTAAAGCAAATCATGAACAAGTGCTAATAAACAAGAATCTACCTAAGCTATGTTCATTCCTAACCATGGTTCCACAAGCAAGTAACACCTATCACATATCTTTGCATGAAATCTAGTAATGTTATGCAAAACATGAAACTTTAATAACAAGGATCAATAAAGTATGCTCATGTTCTATAAGTTTACTTATCACATCTCTTTCCACGAATGTAGATAAATACATGATTAATGGTCAATTAAGACTTTAATAAGCTTGTAATGTAAAGTTATGGTCAATGTATGATAAAAGTCATTTAGGCTCAAGTACCCTAACAATGCATCACAAGTCTAAGATCATCCATCATAGAGCTTCCAAGGTAAGAAAGATAAGCTTAACTAAAGAATTACCCCTCAAACTTTGATTTTGCCCATTTTTCTTTCTTTTCTTATTTTCTTTGTTTTTTCACCATTTTATTGCTTTTGCTTTTTGTTTTTTTTTTTTGTATGCTAGGTTGATTTTTTCTTTTTTTTTTTCCATTATTTTACAAGTTACACCTTTCCTCGCTAATAATGCATAGCTTACAAATGGTGCATGAATGTCTTAAATGCATGTAGGATAAACGAACAAAAAGATAGGAAGTATCTAAACAAAGGCTTGGGCTTGTAATGTGGTTTCAAAATCAAGAAAAAGCATCATAAGACTCAAATGGGGTAACTATGAAAGAATTGTATCAAGGTTGGCTCGAAAGGCTCAAATGATCCAAAGATGGCCCATACCATTTCCCTAACCATGTGTCTTCTAGGATTTCACAGCGAGAGATACTCAAAACAAATTTTAAAATCCTAAAACACAACTTTAAAGATCAATGCAAAAATAATCTCATTCTCACATAATCAATACTAGAGAAAAAATGTAATTTAATGTTCAAAAGCTTCAACTAACAAATGAAAACTATATTCAAGAATTCATTAAACCTAAGCATCATCTCATATTTTACACAATATCTAATCTTTTCCTAAAATTATATTCATTCTCAATTATCTATCATTGGCTTTATGAAAAACTAATAAAAAAAAGCATAATAATGACTCAAGTTACCCCATGTTAAGATATTTCAAAGCAAAACTTAAGGAAAATTCGAATTTTTTTTTAAATTTTGAGCAATTTTTTCATACATTAAAACTTAAACAACACATTGTCTTTAATATGTAAGTATCAAGAAATAAAAGTACAAAAGTGAGGAACAAGAAAACTCCCCTATCATCATGGAGGTATGGTGGCTGAATGCCTTATCCAAGCTTTGTTTAAAACTAGTGCTTCATCTTTTAAGCTCTTATTTCACCTACAAAACAAAAAAAAAAAACACCTACAATAAGAAGAAACATCAATATGTACAAAGAAAATCATAATTGAATGAACAAAAGAACAAATATGTACAAATGATAAAAATTGAATGTGCAAAAAAAAAAAAA